TTTTTTTTCTGTATTCTGGAACCTGAGTGAAGTGACTCTCACCAATTTTTCCTTGCTTTTTTGTCTTTTGGTGCTCGGAGCTGAACACAAGGCTGTCTGCAAATTAAGTAGGCACCTACCACTGAGCAACACCACCAACCTAGGTTTTACATTTTTTAGTGTTCTTTGGAAAGTCTCACTATGTAGCACAGGCTGAGCTTGAACTCGTGAACTTAACCTCCCAAGTTGCTGGAACTGCAGGCTTCCCTTTTCATTCAGAATACTGATTTGTTGTAGGGATTGAGTTTTCATTCTGTGGGGAAGATTCTGTAACCCACATTTGCCTGTAAAGATCCAAGTGCAGTGGGTCACACCTAAATCCCAGGACACAGGAGCTGGCAACAGGAGAATTGTCATGAGGTGAAGATCAGCCTGGGATACATAACGAGACACTATCTTAAATAAATAAACAAGGGCTAGAGACATGGCTCCACAGTTAAGAATACTTTCTGTTCTTGCAAAGAACCCAGGTTTGATTCCCAGCACCTACATGGCACATATATTTGCATATATGTACACACATACACACACACACACACACACACACACACACACACACACACACATACCACCACCACCACCACCAGGTACATGTACATACGCATAAAATAAAATGTAAAAATTAAAATAATAAAAAAGTCCCCAGCTGTTCTAGGGTTGTTGCTCAGTTGGTAGAGGGCTCACCTAGTATGCATGAGACCCTTCGATTCTGTCCCCAGTACCACATACGTCAACATATTGTGGCATACACCTCTCATCCCAGCACTCAGGAGGCAGAGGCAGGAGAATCAGAAGTTCAAAGTCAGCCTCAGCTATATAGTGAGTTCCACGCCACCCTGGGCTCCATGAGACCCTGTTAGAACCAAAGAAAAGACACTTAGAAGGCAGAGGTTCAAGGCTGGCCTGGGCTGCATAACAAGTTCTAGATCTAGCAAAGCTACGTAGTGAGAGTCTGTCTCAAACAAAACAAAAACCTAGCCGGGCAGTGGTGGCACACGCCTTTAATCCCAGCACTCGGGAGGCAGAGGCAGGCGGATCTCTTGGAGTTCAAGGCCAGCCTGGGCTACAGAGTGAGATCCAGGAAAGGCGCAAAGCTACACAGAGAAACCCTGTCTCGAAAAAACAAAAAACAAACAAACAAACAAAAAAAAAACCTAAAGCACAAAACAATAAAAAAAGAGAAGAGCCCAAACAAACAACAGAAATATAAAGAATTCAGATGGGGGGGGCGGTGACACATTGATATAAAACACCAGATTTGCCCAAGAAGACAGTAGAGCAGCAGGGATTTCACCAGGCTCCAAAGAGCTGAATTCATGCAGTCCACCATATTCACCATTGAGTTACTCAGCATGTGGCTTCTATGCATGTACTCAGGGCTTGGACTGTAGCTTAGCAGTAGTTCTCCTGCCTAGAATCCCCCAGTGAGGGGCTGGGGTGTGGCTCAGTGGTGGAGCCCCTGCCTAGAATCCCCCAGTGAGGGGCTGGAGTGTGGCTCAGTGGTAGAGCCCCTGCCTAGAATCCCCAGTGAGGGGCTGGGGTGTGGCTCAGTGGTAGAGCCCTGCCTAGAATCCCCCAGTGAGGGGCTGAGGGCTTAGAGTGGTACTCAGTGGTAGAATACCTGTCTTGCCCTGGTTTCCAATCCTACACTGAAAAATAGCCCAATGTCTTCCTCATATATGCTTTGTATCAGGGACCAAAAGCTACGGGAAGAATCATGCCCTCCTTGGGCTGGCCCATTTAGTAGACTTACCTAGTAATCGTACACTTACTTAGTCAGGATTACACTTAATTTTAGAAATCAGATCCGTCTCCTCATGCTAAGCAACCACCACCACCCCTCAGCTCCAGCTTCCCATTGTGTCCTTTCTGAGTTGGGGGTTGAGAGAGGCTTCACTTTGCAACCCAAGCTGGCCTTGAGCTTTCTGCAATTCTCCTGCCTCAGCCTTCTGAGTCCTAGGATTACAAGTGTGTGGCATTACACCTAGCTCACACACACACACACACACACACACACACACACCAAAAACAAAAACCCTCATATTAAAAAAAAATTACCTGCCAGGTGGTGGTAATTGAGCCCCAGCACTGTTTTAAAGTGCTGTTTAATCCCAACACTCGGGAGGCAGAGGCAGGAGGATCTCTGTGAGTTCAAGGCCTGCCTGGTCAGCAGAGCGAGTTCCAGGACAGCCAGGGCTACACAGAAACAAACAAACAAACAAACTTATTTGTTATGTCCCTTGAAAAACCTTCTGTGTGTGCCACAGTGTACGTGTGGAGGTCAGAGGACGACTTGAGGAGTGGGTTTTTGTGTCCCACTGTGTCTTGCAGGGACCGAACTCAGGCTAGCCAGGCTTTGCATGGCAAGTTCTTGCGGAGGCTGAGCTGTCTCACTGATTCCCTCCTTCTCTTTGAAATACTGCTGGGACTCAAACCCAGGGCCTTACGCATGTTACACATTCCATTTTTAAAATTTCTTTTGATAGAGGGTCTAACGAACTGTGTAGCTCTGAAATCAATGGCCTTCCTGCTTGGCTTCTCTGGTGCCAGGGTTATGGGTGTGCACTATGCCCTAATTTGATGACATTTGTATGTGTACATGGAGGCCAGAGGACATCAGGTGTCATCCTTAGGGAACATCCACCCTTGCTCTGGGACAGGGTCTCTCACTGGTCTGAAACTCCACAAGTGGGCTAGGCTAGCTGGCCAGCAAGCTCCGGTCCCTCCGCCTCCCCGGCACTGGGATTACTAGCATGTTCTACCACACAGGGCTTTAAAAAGAGGGTGCTGGGAATCTGAGCCTGGGTCCTCATTCTTGCAAGGCAAGCACTTTTCTGTCGGGGCCGTCTCCGTGGTCCCCATTACTCTGCTTTATTTTTATTTTCTTTTAGAGGGTGGCAGGTTTAGAGACAGCGTTTCTCTGTGTAGCTCTGGCTGTCCCAGAACTTGCTCTGTAGAACAGGCTGGCCTCAAACTCAGAGATCCACCTGCCTCTGCCTCCGAGTACTGGGATTAAAGGTGTGCGCCACCGCTGCCTGGCTTCTCTTCTTTAAATGTGCATGGGTGCTTTGCCTGCATGTTAGTGCATCGTGTGCTGAAGTACCTGCAGAGGTCAGAAGAGGGCATCAGCTCCCTTGGCACTGGAGTTATGGATAGTTGTGAGCTATTATGAGGGTTCTGGGAATTGAACCCAGGTCCTCTGGAGGAACAACCAGTGCTCTTAATGGCCAACTCACCTAGAGCCCCATTATTTAGTGTCTGTGTGTGGGCACACACATACACACTCGCACACACCTGTGAAAGTCTGTCCTTTGTCTTGTATGTTCTGGGGATTGAACTCATCAGACTTGGCAACCAGTACCTTTACCACTAAGCTATCCTGAAGACTCTTAGTTAGGCATAGTGGTGCAGCCTGTGATCACTGCAGTCTGACTGCTGAGGCAGGAGGATTGCTGAGTTAGAGACTCTATGAACTATTTCAACATTGCTACATAGTGAATTTTTTTTTATTGGCTGGCCTTGAACTCATGATCCTCCTGCCTCTGCCTCCTTCAGTAAATCCTACCGGCGTATACCACCACAACCGGCTAATGAGATTTTTTTTTTTTTGATGTATTTATTTATTATGTATACAGTGTTCTGCTTGCCCACCAGAAGAGGGCACCAGATCTCATTACAGGTGGTTGTGAGCCACCGTGTGGTTGCTGGGAATTGAACTCAGGACCTCTGGAAGAGCAGCCAGTGCTCTTAACTTCTGAGCCATCTCTCCAGCTACATAGTGAAATTTGTCTCAGGACTTCAAAAGGGTTGCATGAGGCTGGGAAGGACCCTAGAATCTACCTTCAGTCAGGCATGGAGGTGCACACTTGTCATCCCAGGGCGCTTACAGGCCAGCCAGCCAAGCCTGCTTGACGAGTTCTAAGTCACTGAAAGACCCTGACTCAGGAAAGTGGCGACGGCAGCTGAGGAACAACACACCCAAACACACACACACACACACACACACACACACACACGCACGCACGCACGCACGCACGCACGCACGCACGCACACACACACACACACA